CGGGAGCTTCCCGTGCTCGGGGCCAATCGGCGCCCGGCTCGTCCGAGGAAGCGGCGCGACGGCGCGCGACCGACGTGGGGCGGACGACGACGGGCCGGGTCGGGGCAAGCGCGGCTGCCGCCGGGGCGGGGCGGGGCGGGGCGGGCGAGGGCGGGGCTGGAGTGCCTGGGGGCGGGCCCACATGTGGGGCAGGAACGGGAAAGGCAGCCGCCTCCGACTTTACGGGGTTGAACGCGGGGTCCGTCTTCCATTCCCATCTTGCCGCCTGCGACCCTTTGGAGTCCCGTTTCCCAGAAGCTGTGCAGTTGCCCGTGCTGGTCTCGAACTCGCGGACTCGGGTAATTCCCTTGCCTCGGCCTCCCAAGGTGCTGGGATTACAGGCTTCAGCCACCGCGCCCGGCTACTTTCTATATGATTGCCACATTGTTAACGAAATTTCTGATTAAAAAACCATCTCAATAGAGCATAATTGTTTTACAGAAGGAGCAGAACTAAGAACAAAATTTAAAAATATATGTGTGTGTGTGTTTTCCTCAGAGACAACTTTTATTCTGCCCAGGCAACGGGGAAATTGAGGCCTCCGCTTTCAATTTTTCACACCAGACGATCAGAAGAATTTTGCACAGACCCACATACAGGGCTCCATACATACACGGCTTGTTTCTCCTTCGCTCCCCACTGACGTCCAGGTGAAGTATTTGGCAGCCCTAGACGATATTCCCACCCAGGACAGTCAGCAAGGATGTGACTGAACTGCGTGACATCCCATAAACTCTGACCACATGCATCTCAACTCATATTCCCCTTCGTCACGTCTCAAAAATACCTGTTGTCTCTCCAGCGCCACCACCCCTGGGAGAGTGTGATGAAGGTGGGGTCCGCCTGGAGAGTGGCAGCCTTCCAAACAGATTGCAGGTAAAAATATCCTATTTGGCGGGTATACCCAGCACCTGCCTCGTGAACCCACTGGGAGGCACCCCCAGAGCCGTGGCAGGGGCCCTTGCAAATCCACTGCGCCCCTTCCACAGTGTCCCTGCTGTGGTTGGCCTGGGAGCGGGCACATCGAGGCTGGCTCTCCCCTGCAGGTGTCCATCAGGACAGCTGTCAACCCATCTGTCCCGCAGTCTGAGGTCCAGGCCTGTTGCCACAGACATGTCGCTGTCCTGTCCTTGGCATGCCATACAGCCAGGCACAGGTGGGTACAAGTGTCCCCGTGACTCTGCCTCCACTGCCCACTCACTCCCTCTCTGGTGTCACCTGTGCACACACCCCCTCCTGGCTCTGGGATTCTTCCATTTCATCCCAGGCCCAGGGGGTGACACGGCAACTGTGGGCATAGACACCAGTGTCAGGAGACCTGGTAAGCAGCTCATGTCACCATAGACACCATGCCACTGTCATTTTAGTGAGTCTTCTGCCTACGTTGTTTAAGATAAGCAGGCTACCAGAGTCCTCCACTTACCTTCGTGCATGGAGAAAAGACAATTCCAGAGCCTTCTGGAAAATAGGAAATTGCTCATGTCTATCTGTAGGTCGCAGTTTCTCTCTGGCATCATTTCCCTTCAGCCTGAATAATTTTCGTTTTTTTTGTTTTGTTTTGTTTTGAGTTGGAGTCTCACTCCATCACCCAGGCTAGAGTGCAGTGGCACACTCACGGACACCCCAGTGTCGACCTCCGGCAATCCTTCCACCTCAGCCTTCCAAGTAGCTGGAACTACAGGTGCATGCTACCACACCTGGCTAATTTTTGATTTATTGTAGAAATGAGGTCTCACCAAGTTGCCCGGGCTGGTCTCAAACCCACAGGCTCAGGCAATCCACTTGCCTTGGCCTCCCAACGTGCTGGGATGACAGGCTGAGCCACTGAGCCCAGCCCTGAATAACTTTCTTTAGTATTTTATACACCATCTGATGTGAATTAATTGTTTCATCTTTCAATTAACTGAAAATGCCTCTATTTTATGCTTGATTTTGAAGGATATACTATTTTAACAGTGTTATTCATTATCTTCTGACTTCCATTGTTTCCACTGAGACGTCAGTTGTCTCTGGTTATCTACTGTGTCCTTGTCCCTTGCAGGTCATGTGACATGTCCTCTGGCTGCTTTCAAAGTCATCCCTTGATCATCAGCTTTCTCTCTCTCTCTCTCTTTTTTTTTTTTCTGTAGGGATGGGGTCTTGCTATGTTGTCCAGGTTGGTCTGGAATTCCTGGGCTCAAGCAATCCTCTCGCTTGGCCTCCCAAAGTATTGGGATCATGGGTGTGCACCACCATGCTCAGCAGACCTTCAGTTTCCCTATTATGTCCCCAAGTATACTTTCCTTTCTTTTTCCTGCTTGGGTTCATTGAGCTTAGATCTGTGTATTAAGGTTTTCCAACACACTGGGAAAGTTTTACTAGTATTTAGGTGTTTTTTATTTTTCTGTCCCATTCTCTCTCTCTTTTTCTGAGATTCCAGTGAATGTTATTTCTTTTTTTTTTCTTTTTTTTTCTTTTTTGAGTTGGAGTCTCACTCCATCGCCCAGGCTGGAGTGCAGTGGCATGCTTACAGCCACCCCAGCATTGACCTACTGGGCTCCGGCAATCCTCTTGCCTCAGCTTTCCAAGTAGCTGGAACTACAGGCACACGCTACCATGTCTGGCAAATTTTTTTATTTATTGTAGCGACAAGGTCTTACCACGTTGTCCAGGCTGATCTTGAACCCGCAGGCACAAGCAATCCTCTTGTCTTGGCCTCCCAAAGTGCTGAGAGTACAGATTTAAGCCACTGCACCCGGCTTCAGTTAATGTTATTTCACTTAATATGTCCCATGGTTCTTTCTTCCTTTAAAAAAATATTTTGGTTTGGTGCTTGTTTGTTTTTTTTTTAGATTCAAGGTCTCACTGTGTTGCCTAGGCTGGTCTTGAACTCCTGGGCTCAAGCAATCTTTCTGTCTCAGCCTCCCAAGGTGCTGGGATTACAGGTGTGAGCCACCATGCCTGGCCTTTTTTTATTCTCTTAGATCTTCAGATTGAAGGTTTTCATTTCTTCTTTTTCTCACCCACCCATTCACTTGTTGTGAGGTTAATTTTATATGTCAATTTGACGGGGCTATGGAGTGCCTAGATATTTGGTCAAACAGAAGCACTATTCTGAGTATTTCTACAAGGGTATTTTTGTTTTTCGGAGGTGTTTTTTTTTTTTGAGGTGAGGTCTTACTCTGTCACCCATGCTGTGTGCAGTGACACAATCACGGCTCACCACAGCCTCAACCTCCTGAACTCAAGAGATCCTTCTGCCTCAGCCTCCTGAGTAGCTGGAACTACAGGCACATGCCACCATACTCAGCTAAATTTTTTTATTTTTGTAGAGACGTGGTCATACTATGTTGCTCAGGCTTGGTCTCAGACTCCTGGCCTCAAGCAATCCTCCTGCTTGGCCTCCTGAAGTAATGAGCTGCTGTGCCCGGTCTGATTGCTTTGTCCCCTCGTTATGAGACACATTTTCCCGCTTCTTTGCATGTCTAATAAATGTGAGCTAAACATTGTGGACGTCACATTGTTTGGAGTATGGCTCAAAGTGACTTCTTTATGGAGCTGTGGGCCTCATTCCAGCAGGCAGGTCATTTCCTGGTGGCTCTTGTCTGTCCTGCTGAGACGGGATCTGAGCCTTGTGTGAGCAGGTCCAGAGCAGGCCTTCACATCGGTCCAGGTCCTCCTGCCCGACTCTTCTGGCGCCTCCACGGAAGGCCCGGAGTGTGGACAAGGACGCTCCTGTGGGCAGGGAAGAGTCACGCCCTCTCTGGTAGCAGTGGCCTCTGCTGCCTCCACTCTCCTCTGCTCCATGCTCGACGTCAGTCTCTCCCTGCCGTGGGGAGGGGAGCCACAGGTCCCACCGTGGAGAGACTTCTGGACCCCCCTGGCTCCCGCCTCTCTGCTGTCTTATCCTGCCAGTTCCAGCTGCTTGCACTGCTCTGAACTCTGACCTTGGCCTCTGTAGTCCAGCGGACAGCCATACTTTCTTGGTCCCGTCGCTCTGTGCTGAGGTTGGGAGATTGTTCCCAGGCAGAAAGCCAGAGGGAATGTGGGTCAAGCTCATGGTTTTCCCTTCTCTCAGGTTCTCAGTCAACAGCTCTTGTCCAGTGCCTGGACAGTCACCTCTGTTCTGCCC